GCTCTATTCAAAACAAAATATAAATTAAATTTTAATTAATAATCACTCAAGAAGTTTATTTATCATGTATATTATTTTAAATAAATATATAAACTTTAAATTATTGTATTTATTATAGAAAAATTAAAAAATTTAGCACAGAAACAAATATCAAAACGGGCGTCATTCACAGGCAATACAATTTTTGCAACAACAAATTCGCCTGAAAAAACGAAAATCAACGGTGCTGCTGCTATAATATTTTGATTGTGATTTAAAGTGGCAATAAATGTAAACGGACGAAAACTTAATGTTATTAAAAATTATCTCAATAATAAATATATGTAATAAATAATTTAATTAGTCTCTGAATATAGTTAATTATAGAGTTTTTATTGATATTTCCATTTTATATGCCGCAATTTATTAGGTTTAAGCAGGTGACAGCAATTTACCGGTTTAAAAATTCTCCACGAGCAAAGACAATAAAAACAGAAAAAAAGTTTCTGTAGCATTGCTCTGTTATAGCAAAATGTTTTTGTTTTTGTTCTTAACATTTTCATGAAAACTAATTACATACCTTAGTGAAAAAAAATACATAACCATAATAAATTCGAAAAAACTTTAGTTTTTATAAATATTAAAGTATTTGTACGAATTTATAGTAAAACAAAATTAATCAATGAATGTAAGTAAAATATGTATATAGATATTATTTGAATTATACATTTTGTATTTGTTTGACAGAAATATAATTATTATGTTTATGTATAATAATTTTCAAAATTCGGTTTTTTAAATATTTTATATATATTTTGGAAATATGTTTTATATATATAAGAAATCTCAGTTTTATTTATTGAAGTTATTCCTTTCAAATTTAAAAATTAAATAAAAGAATAAATAATTTCCATGTTTTATTAATCAGTTAGGCGATTTTACACAGCGACCGAGAGATCTATTGCAACTCATTCGTGGATTCAGAGTATTCATCTAAGCTCAAGTTGCTCAATAAATTTTAATATTGAGCATACTTTACCGAGTCTTATTTTTTATCCGATATGAGTATCTCATCTAGATACATTTTTCGCCGGGAAAACTTCTAGTAAATGATAGGCTTTCAGGATAAATATAGTTTTATTGTTCATCAACAACTACAATATTGAAATCCTTGGTCTCCCAAGATCCACTATCATATATCGAAAAACGTCTTTTCCCGAAGAAGCATAGTATTCTGTTTTAGAAATATAAATGTCTTCTGTATTTATGGGCCTTAAAGTGGGATAAAACAGCTTCCAAATGTGAAGAAAGTACCATATAACATATTACGAACATAAAATTATTGTGGTTTAATCTAACCTTCAGCGTTGTTTGTTCGCTGACAACTGCGTCCTTTTGGACTACGTATAAACATCTCTCTTATGAGAGTCTTATCAGAACAGGTATAAGAATTCTGAATCAAATTTTGGAGAATTTCAGGAAACTAAACACTTCTAAGTGATTTTATTTCTATGTTCTATACGAACACTGCAACAAATTTCAATGGCGGGCAATACTGGAGTTAGCTTAAATTGGGAATAAAAAATCAAGTTTCTCTTTTATAATATTTTTAATTAGGAATTTAGTAGATTATTTTATATTTTTTATAAATATAAATCAATAAAAAAATATTAAAATAACATTGCAACTAAGGTTGATATTTACTTTTATTAGCATATACAAGCAATTATATTACAAAACAATAAAAACAGTCCATAAATTCGTAATACGAACAATAAATTGTTTGATTCTAAAGATAGTGTACAAAATATATATATATATATGTAGAATATGTATAATAATGTAGATGCAACAGTGCGAAAGTGCAAAAAAAATAACAAAAAAAAAAAAAATGTGCCGTTCATATTGTAATTTTCTTTAGAAAATGTCATAAAAAATATATTAAATGTTCATAAAATCAAGTAATACGGATAATATATGAAATCAAAATATTAGAAGCAAAAGTAATCATTCAAAAGTCAAAACAACACTGAATTCTATGGATATAATCATATTAATTTTGGTAAGTACTTAATCATTTATATAAATGGAGTATAAAAACACTGCCGAAAACTCTATATGTCGTATTAATTTCAAGCTTATAATAGAAACAAATTACACTCGTATATGTTACAGATTTGATGAAATAATTTTTGTTTGCTAAGTCATAAATTGCTATTTTTGTTGTTTTTTTTGGTGAATTTGCAAGACTGTCAGCAAAATCAGGGAATCAATAAAGCCAAAAACCAAACAAGGTTTCAGTGAAAAGTATTAGCCTTTTTTGTTTGGTTTGTGTGCTTGCGTCATTGCAAATAGCATTCAATTTAAAGCAAATCAAATCAAATTAAACGTAATTCGAAGCGATTAAAGGAAAATATACGAGTGAGTTGTGAGTATCTGCCATTGTTGTGGTTCGCACTTTTCTTGCAGACAAACAGACAGACCGACAGACAGACAGACAAATAAGCGTCGAGAGACATAAACAAAAGTATAAATAAATAATATTAATAAAGAAATAAATATTTACAAAACTGTCTGCGATTTGACGTGTGTTTTGAATATGAAATCTTGAGGCATCTGCATCTGCTACATTAAATTTTCACTAATTTTCACATCTCCAGCTTGAAGGAAGCTGGAGATGTCCTATTTAAGTTGTTGCGCTTGACACATTTTATAAGTTTCGAATTTAATTGAATTTGATTGAAGTTGAATATAAATTTGTGTATAAACATAAATGTTAATATAAATTGAGCTCTAAAAATGAATGTTTAGAGGTTGGCACGCAATGCCAGGCAGTCACTCTTCGGTATATATTGGCATATAACCTACATTATTGTTATGTAAAGCTACTTTGGCGTATACTTAGCAATACACACGTTGGCTCATTTGCATAGAAATTTGGCAATCAGCGCGTTTTGAACCTTTTTGCATGATTTTTTTTTAACTTCTGTCAATCTTAAATATCAAATTCACATATTAAATGTGAAATTAAGGTTTTCGTTTACGTGCTGCGAGTTGATGTCACGTACGTGTAATAGTGCAACTAGGAATATGTTGCTACTGACACGTACTGCAAAACATTTCTATCAAAATATATTTCCTTTTGATATAAATTTAGTTATTTTTTATTGTATGAATATACATATGAATAGACGAAACAAAATGAAGTCAAGCCTCCACTAAAAATATTTTAATTGAGCTTGTAAGAAATTTGACAGCCTTATATTTCTGCTATAGGTATAAAATAGGTTTTTTTTTGCAGCTATAACATATATATATATATATATAAAATCTTCTAAATTTTATTATTTGTTTGTTTATATTAAATAAATTTGAAGGTTAACTTCATATTTTATCACATCAAATTTAGGAAAATTATAAGCTAAGCTGCTGATTCACAGAAACTTGTGTATAGAAGACTTTAGCATTTGTCAATTATTTGCATAGAATTTAGATTTGTAAGATCTAATATTATCCTATGCGTCAGTGTTAATAATCTAGTTAAATAATGGTGACACAACACATTATCTAATAAATTTAATAAGATGTAAACTTTTATGTAAAATTTGATTTTATTCAGCAATAAATAATGTGTGAGTAGTTCCCTTTAAGAGTGATATATTTTTCGATTCTTTTCAATATTTGGATGCCTTTTTAGTGAAATGGTTTGCATTTGTTATCAATTACTTCAAGAAAATAAATCTAAAGTATTGATTTGTTGGATAACTATTTCCAAATCTGAACCGTTTGATATCATTTATACACCGAATATTCTCTTCTATAACGATACCTAAATTCTTAATTAGAAGCGAATATGTTGAAGAATAAAAAGTTTTCTTAAGAAAAATATGTTACTAAGTCGCCGAGTTATTGCGGGTTATATTTAAATCTAAGCCGATCAACCCCATTTACTGTATTACTGTATTAGTTCTTCTTTTTTACAAACGACAGCAAAGAAAAAAATTTTTACCAACAAAATCATGTATCCAAAGCGACAGTTATCTATAAACCGATACAATTGCTTAACTTTCGAAAAGTAAGTGAAACAAGCAGACAGACTTAGCTAAATCAACTTAACTCGCTTAACTGATCAAGAATATATGTTTATACTTTATGGGATCTACAACGATTAATTCAAAGCGTCACAAAATTCTTGGCAAACCCAATATACGAGTATTTTTTCTTTATTCTTTTATGCAAATAGATTAAATATATATATAAACAATATTGT